AGAGAGAGAGAGAGAGAAAATCCCTTCACGCATATTAGAACAAGATAAGAATATAATTAGGTAATTTTTCTAATAATTATATTTGCTATATCAAATCATAAAAATAAAATTTTAACTAGAGAACTAGTTCGAATTGTTTCATAATTGTTTTTATATAATAACTCAACATCAAGTTGTTTTAAAATATTTTGCGATTTCCTCCCAATTGATTTTTATAGATTCTTTCTACTATTAAAAGATAGAGTCATACATTTTTGTTAAATGTTTTACAAATAAAAAAATTAAATACTATGTATCTCCAAACGATATCGCAGAAGAAATAAATCAGATACATAGAATTGGATGAAATAAACAGTAATAAAAAAAACTTGTACTGCTCAATAATATAAAGAAAATATATTCTAAAGGATTTGCAATTTTAAAGATTGGAAAGCAAATTTAGAAGAAATCGATACGGATACGGAACATTTTATATTATTTTTTTTTATCCGTTTTTTTTAATCCGCTTAATTTTATTTATTTATTTTTCGCTTTTTTGAGAAAACACTATTGTTTATTTCTGAACTAAATCAATTAGCTACTCGAATTGTCTATATGTATTATCTTTCGATACCATTGCCATCGTAAAATACGGTGTCGTCCACAGACTTCGCGTCTGGGAAAAGGCGAAGAAACTCGAAGACGATGCCATTCGTCCATCCAAAGCCCTCCTGAACGTTGTACTCGCCGCCGCTGCCACCCTCGCCGGGGTGTATCGCATTGTACTGAAATTAAGAAAAAAAAAAAAACAACTAATTACTCCGTGTAATCGTGCATGTTCCTGACTCGCAGAACCATCGCGTCGCGTCTCGTTGCGTCGAAATAATCAAGACGTACTCCGAATCGTCACCCTCTCCTGATTTCCATCCGCCATGGCGACGAGTAATTCCTGCCACGAAATCTATCCTATAGAGAAATCTAATTTCTCCCGATTGCGAGAAAGAGAGAGAGAGAGAGAGAGAGAGAGAGAGAGAGAGAGAGAGAGTAGTAGTAGTAGTAC